ATCATCAAAACAACTTGATATTGGATAAAAAATAATGAAAATGATCAGTAAAACAAATCAAGTACACAATATCTGGAAGTGAAAAAACATGAGAGTCTGGTGTTTGACAAACCCAAAGATCCAAGCTATTGAGGCAAGAATTCACTATTTGACAAAAACTGATAGGATAACTGGAATGCAGTCTTTCAGAAACTAAGCATAGACCAACATCTGATACTGCATACCAGGACAAGCTCCAAATGGGTACATGACTTAGACATTAAAAGTGACATCATAAATAACTTAGAGGAGTAAGGAAGAAATTACCTGTCATTTCTATAAGTAGGGGAAGAGTTGATGACTAAAGAAGAGATAGAGAGGGTCACAGAAGCTAAAATGGTTTATTACATAAAATTTAAAAGCTTTTGAATAAACAAAACCAATGCAAGTAAAATTAGAAGAGAAGCAGGTAAAGGGGAAAATATTTGCAGCAAGTTTCTCTGATAAATGTCTTATTTCTAAGGTATATAGGGAAATTATTCCAATTTGTAAGAATTCCCTCAAATGATAAATGGTCAAAGATATGAATGAGTAGTTTTCAGAGGAAGAAATCCCACTTCTCAATAGCCATATGAAATAATATTCCAAATCTTTAATAATTATAGGAATGCAAATTGAAACAGCTTTGAGGTTCCACCTCTCAAAAATCAGATTGACAAAAGTGACAAAAATAAAATGATACATGATGGGCTCTATAGTTAAATAAGAACATTAAAGCAATGTCAGTGGAGCTATGAATTGATCCCTCCATTTTGAAAAGCAGTTTAGAAAATTTCCCAAAAAGCTATTAATGTGTGCATGCTCTTTGACCCAGTGATACCACTACTAGGTCTATATTACAAAGAGATCAATGAAAGAGCAAAAATATCTATATGTATAAAATATATATAGCAGTTTTGTTTGTGGTGACAAAAAATTTGAAAACTGAAAAAGTGACCGTCTATTAGGAAACAACTGAATATGAATATATATGAATGTGATGAAATATTTGTTGAATTACACTATAAAATGTGTTGAAGGAGATTGTTTCAGAGAAAGTTGGGGTCAATTGTATGGATTGATTCAAGGTGAAGTGACCAGAACTAGAAGAACAATCTATACAATAACAGCAGTATTGTTAAGACAACCAACTTTGAAAGCCTTAGGAAATCTGTTTGATAAAACAACCAACCAAAATTCCAGAGAACTCATAATGAAACAGGCCAGTTCCCACCCAATAAAGAGGTGATGGACTCAGCATATTGAGAAATATTGGGGGCAAGGGTCATGGCCAATCTAGAAAATTGTTTTGCTTAACTATCCATGTTTGTAACAGGGGATTTGGGAATGGTGAGAGGTGGGAAGGAGAGAAGGCATATTTTTATTTGAAAAATATATATAATTTAATGAGAAAATATAAGAAGTCAGACAAGCAGTCTTAAGAAGAAAATCTCAGAAAGGATAGATGAAGATTTGAAATAGCTGGTACTTTAGCATCTTTGCTGAAAACTTTCTCATTGAAAAAGAGCCATTGCTTTGATGATTGTTTGGAAAGTCTGGGGAGCTGCTGATGCCTACAGGTCATTAAAGAAAGTTGAATCCTAATGTTTTGTGAATAGCTGTTAGGCCCTATTGTTCTTGAATAGCATCTACAGCTACAGTGAGGGGAAGCCTTTGCAGTGAAGGAGGAAACCTAATTGCTCTCTCACAGCCTCTCCAGTGAGAACAGTTTCTTCACATGGAGCCCATGGATTCATAACGGTTCCAGGGATACATTCCAGGTGGCCTGTGAACTTTCATCAGGAAAAATTACATATTTATTTTCACTAGCCACTCACTGAAATTTAACATTCACTTCAATTATGAATTTTGACAATATTATTTTAAGAAGGGGTTCATGGGTTTTATCAGAATTCCAAAAAGTTTCATGACACAGAAAGGGTTAAGAACATCTATGTTAGAGGAAAGAATGGAGGGAAAGATAGACATTGCATCTATTTTACTGTGAGTTGTGCTTTACTATGAAAGGAGTCCTGGAGTTAAGTGGATAAATTAGCATCTCTTGCTATTTGCTGAATTTGGAAGTTCTCCAGATTAAAGGAACTTCTTGTCACTGAAAGAGGAAGAATATCTTTTCTTAGTGCCCTGTTAAGGGTGACCAGATCCTTGAATTCTTAGATGTGATATTACAGCCTCTGCTGCTTTTGAAATTTTCATTCTTTAGCTAGATACTGGAACCACATAGCCTAGGAACTATCACCTTCCTCCTCTTACCAGGAAACCAGGGTTCAGGAATTTCCCTCTGAGGTCATGTAGGCAAGCATATTTCTATCTCTTCAATGTCCTCAATCAAAAATTCCTTTTCATGGACCACTATAAAGAGTGATGCTTCCTGATAAGAGTCCTTTCTCCAAAAAGTCAAAAGCATTCAAACTTTGCAAAAGGCACAGCTACCAAGATTTAATAATGTATCTATTGTCCTCTCAACATGTTACCAAGGGGCATGTACACTGATTCTAGAGGAATGCTCATCAAATACAAACTAAAGGGTTCCTCCCCATAAGTTCATCAAATTGATTAAGTAACACTCCATTAGTAAAATCCCTTACATTAGCATGATAGATTTTGTCAAATGCTCTGCTAATATTCAAATTATTAACAATTATCTTGTTTTATTTCCTTTTAAGTAAGTTTTTATTAATAACTTGTTTTTCCATGATTATAATTCTTCCCAATATCCCTCTGCACTACTTGAGAGAACCATCTCATATAAGAAAATATTATTTTTACAGACAAAAAAAGCAAAAGAAGAGGAAAAAAATCCCCAAAACTGATTAATAAATTGAAAAAGTACAAAAGCATTCAAGAAGAATCACTTGTGTTTCCATGTTCTTCTCAAATTCAACATGGTCCTCTGTCTTATCTAGTGTTGTAATTTCATTTTTTTTTCTTGCACTATTTATTCATAGACTTTTGAATTCATTTACTGCATCTGGAGGCCATATTTTCTTTTACTGTTAATATTTTCCTTATTGATTTATCCATTTGTGTTTGAGGTCTTTCAGTTTTCTTCTACATGAGATCTTTGATAATTTCAGTCTTTTTCCTCTTATTTTCTCCTACTGCTTACTTTCTGACTCTCTAAGCAGGGCCAGGGAAAATTCAAGATGGATACAGAAATAAATATTATCTAGTAAATTTGGTGGGAATGGGCGATAACACTAACAGTTGGGGAAATCAGGAATTCTTGTTGGAGTTAGCACTTGAACTCAGCCATAAATGGAGCTGGTAGTTGAAGATATAGAGATGAATATGGACTCCTCTCTGTTCCATGCATGGGAAACTGCCTTTTTAAAGGCTCTGAGGGGAGAGCTGGGACATTGGTACAAGTAGATGAGTTTGACTGGAATGTAGAATATACTGGGGGCAGTTATGTGAAATCAGACCAGGAACTTAGAATATGACTTAGATTGGACTTAGATTATGAAGGGTTTAAATGTCACAAGAGATGAAATTTTATCCTAGCCATAACTGGGAGCTCATGAAGCAAAGTAGTGAAATGGTCAGATCCATGTTTGGGGGCAATGATGACAAAGATGATAACAAAAGCAATTGGATTTTGAACAGATGTACCCATTCAATGTCTCATTGTCCAATGGAACTGATCACAGTTTCTCAGAGTCTATGTTATCAGAGCTCCAGTTCTTCCAGGTGCAACTAAACTAGAAAGACTTCATCTATGGCATCAGGCAAAGGACAAAGAAGCTCATCATTAGATGGTTGGCCACCATGTGATGAATTTTTTTTGACTACAGCAACTCATAATGACCATCTACAAAGACATGGAGGAGCTGGGACCCAGACTCCCAAAAATGAAATCCTATATTGATTTTCTCTATTTTTGTCTCTCCTATAGCTATACAATATTTCACAGTTTACAGAACACTTTCATATACAGTATTTGATTTGATGTACAGAGAAAAAAAAACACTTCAGGTAGTTAGGTCTTCCAATTCCCACCTTAGAAATGATGTAATTGAGGGATAAAGATATTAAGAGACTTGAACAAGGGCACACAGCTTATAAGTGCTAGGCTGAGGATGAAATCTTATCTTTTTCACTCCATTTCTAGGACTTTTTGAGCTCGAAAATGTTGTGAGGAAGCAGGAAGTATTCAATCAGATGTAGTTATGATGGAAACACCAGGAACAGAGGCCATAGAGAATGATATCAAGGTCATTTATAGTCAACAAGAGTAGAGTGAGCCCTAGGTAGCAAGTTCTCAAAGGAACTTTGAAATTCATTAACCAACATTTATTAAGCTCTTTATATGTGCCAGGCTCTCTACTGAACTTTGGTGACACAAAATGAGGGAAAAAAATAGTCCCTGACCTCAAGGATCTTACAATCTAATGGGGGAGACAACATGCAAACAAATATATACAAACAAGCTGTATACAGGATTAACAGGAAATCATTAACAGAGGGAAGTAAGTATAAGAGGGATAGACTTCCAGTAAAAATGTGATTTTTTTAAAAAAAATTTGTGACTTGAAACAGAAGAAGCCAGAAGGTGGAGTGGATTGAGATTTCCAGACATGGAGGACAGTCCATGAAAATACCCAGAGTTAATATACGGAGTATCTTGTTCATGGAATGGCAAAAAGCTCACCAGGGCTGAGTACATGATGTGCAGTAAGATATTAGAAAACTGGAAAGGTAGAAAGGGACTAGGTTACAAAGGGAATTGAATAACAAACAGAGGATTTTTTATTTCATCCTGGAGGCAGTAGGGAATCCCTGATATTCATTGCTTAGGAGGAGTGACAAGGTCAGAACTACGCTTTAGGAAAATTACCTTTGTGGCTAAATGGAGGATGCATTTGAGTGTTGTAGAGTATTAAGGAATCCAAGACTCCTGCCTCCCAATATTTTCCCCAGAAGTACCTTTTTCTTATTGTAAATATCAGGAGCCAGCCCCATCACTGAGAGGTGGCTATTCTACTAATGAGCCTCCTAAGGGCATCTTTTATGTCCTTATTCCTCAGTGTATAGATGAAAGGGTTCAGCATGGGGGTGACCACAGCATACATTGCTGAGGCAACTGTGCTCTTCCAGGAAGAGTTGGTAGCAGAGGAGCTCAAATATACTCCAAATCCTGTGCCATAGAATAAGGAAACAACAGAGAGATGAGATCCACAGATAGAAAAGGCTTTATACTTACACTGAGCAGATGGAAATTTCAAAATGGAAGAACAGATTTGAGTATAAGAGAAAAGGATCCCTACGAGTGGGAGAAAATCCAATAGTCCAGCAGCAAAATATATTAAGGCATAATTGGTGAGAGTATCAGAACAAGAGAGTTTCAGAACCTCAGCAAGATCAAAAAAGAAGTGCTGAATTTCATGGTCTGTGCAGAGGGAGAGCCGTGTTACCATCAGACAGTAAAGGAGGGAATCTAGAAGGCTTATTATCCAGGAGAGCAGAACCAGTAGGCTACAGACATCGGAGCTCATTTTGGCTGCATAGTGTAGAGCATGACAGATAGCCACAAAATGGTCATAGGCCATTGCAGTGAGGAGGAAATTGTCCAAACCACCAAAAACAATAAAGAAGTACATCTGGGTAAGACAACCAGCATAGGAGATGACCTTGTTTTGTGTCAAGATGCTCACCAGCATCTTGGGGACTGTGGTGGACACCACACAGATATCCACAAAGGAAAAGTTGGAAAGGAAGAAGTACATGGGGGTGTGGAGGTGAGAGTCAGAGCCAATGGCCAGCATTCTGAGTTGGTTTCCCACCACTGTGACCAAATACATGCCCAAAAACAGCCCAAAGAGGAGGCCCTGCTGCTCTGATTTTTCAGAAAATCCCAGGAGAATAAATTCAGTGAATTGTGTTTGGTTTCCTGGTACCATGGGGCTGACTCTTCTGCTGGGAAAAAGAAATGAGAAGAGCTTGACGTGAAAATACACTTATCCTTGTACATGAAATGGAAAGAAATCCTACTCCGACTAGACTCTGACTTAAAATTTCTGAGTTCTGTCCCTCTCTCTGCCACTTATTACCTTTGTGATCTTGGACAAATCACTATTTCCACATACCACCTCCATGCAAGACAAAAAACTTGCATCTAATGACCTCTAAGATTCCTTCCAATTCAGACAGTCTTTGAAACATGAACAACCACAAGTAGAAGTGAACATTTTATGAATCCCATCTGAAATTTGCCTAAGAATCACCATGGGCAGGGCAGGACTGTTCTTGCAGACAACAGCAGAGAGAGAGGACAAGGATCTCATATGATTGAAAATTTGGGCTCTCCTTTCTTCAAATGAAATCGTAAAATCTCACAGTAATGGAAGGGACCTCATAGAACATGTAGGACAAAACTGTACCCCATAAAAATCCTGGCACAAAAATATACCTGGCAATTGGGCATCTGGCCATTCCTTGAAGACCTCCATGGAAAGGAAACATCTCCACTTCCTGAGAGAGTTTATTCCACTCTTGGTTTGCCATTACTTTCCTTTCTATTGAGTCAAAATATGATTGTTTTCAAGTTCCATCCAATGCTCTCGTTCTATGCTCTGAGTCCTTGCAGAACAAATCCCTTTTCTCTCCCACATAATATCCCTTTAAATATGTGAAGACAGTTAACCCATATTGCCTGTTTTCTCTCCTTTTTGCCAAGAAACTCTAATTCCTTCAGCTGATCTACACAGACCCTTCCTTATCTTGTATCCTCTCCAGATCATCCATGTCCTTTCTAAATTGCAGTATCCAGAACTAAACACAGAATTTCAGATGAGTTCTGACTATGGTCAAAGACAATGGGATGTTCACCTCCTTCTTATTGGAAGCTATGTCTCCTTTAATGTAGATTAAGTTTTCTTAAGGTTATTTCGTCTGCCCTTTGCTGACTTATAGTGAGTTTACAACCTACTGGAAACCTCTAGATCATGTTTAAATGAATAATGGTCTTGTGTGTTGGGGAATGTGCTCTTGAGGGGCTTGTGTGCTTTTCCCTTTCTTGTATGCTGTAGCTACACATAGTTGGTAGTGGATGAGATCATCCTTCCAGTATTTGGTGACCTTGTGTTGCTAATGATCCCTTGTGATAGCCTAGGGCTGTATATGTGAAAGTGTACCTCTCTGAGACTCTGCCCCATCAGCCTGGAAAGAGTTTTGGGAGCTCCAGGCAATGACACCTTCCAGTTCTGACTCTTATTCTTTAGTCCTTTGAAGCTGAGACATCCTACATTCTAAAGCCCATCCTAGCTGACTGTATTTTTAAGATCCTTTCTTATGATGCATGTGGTTTTGAAAGGGAAAAAACCTCAATGGAGCACATGACCCAGGCTAACAATATTTTAGATGGAAGATGGATCCAGGATTAAAGGGGACTATTCAGTCTAGGAAGGTTATTCTAGAGAGAATGGAGTCAGGTCTAAGGCTTTAGGGTCAAGTTAAGAACTTCAAACAATTTCAGAGCTACATAGTGTGTTCTTTATATCAACAAGAAAAGTCAGAAACAATCTGAATAAAAGAGACAGAATTTCTAGAAGCCTAGTCCCTCTAAGAGTTCTAGAAGCGTTGGACCTCAGAATTGAAGTGAACTCCAGAAGTTATTTAGTGCAACCTATAGCTAAATAAGAATTCTCCCCATATGACCCATGGAAAATGTGATGTGGCTATGAAAATCACATACTGAATTCTTCCTACATGGTAACCCAGGCAGTATGCATTTATGAAAAATTTACTATGTGACAAACACTGTGCTAAGTGCTAGGGATACAAAAACAAGAAATAACATGGGTGAGACAGAAAGGGGGAAGGTACCCCAAGGACATGGTGACAGTTCCTGGAGACTCAGAGGCACAGACAGGAGAATGAAGAAGGAAAAACCTGAGCTCTTTCCCAAAATTGGGAACTCCCTTGAAGGAACTCACCAATGGGAAAAGGAGGGTGGCATGGGGGAATTATGCTGAAGAATGAGAAGGCCCTGGGCTCTGAGTTAGAACTTTGAAATACACAGAGTCCGAAACACAGCAGAGAGAGTGATGAAATGTCATTTTACAGGTGAGAAGTCATTATCCAGCTGTTGCTTGAAGACCTCCAATGAGCAGGAATCCACAACCTCCTGATAGAGCTCATTTCATATGTGTAAAGCTTTACTTATTAAGAAGTTCATTTGTTTTCTAAGATCAAGTCTAAATTTGGCTCTTTGCCACCTCCTCTCTAGGCTAAGGAAAACATTTCATTCCTCTTTCTAGCCTTTCAAATGCTTAAAGATAGCTACCACTCCAGAAGAGGTTGGAGCAGAGCACATATCTATTGTAGGCTGATACCTTGAAATCCAAAAGAGAATACTTGGAGAGATGAAGAAAAGGAGTTTCTTCCTCATTTTTTGGGTGGTGTGAGTGGTAGTAGTAAGACTAGATCCTGTTGGGGTTGATGGCCAGTAAGAGAGAAGAATCTCCCAGAAGGGTTATTATGTCCAGGCCAAAGGAGGTCTGTGCTGATTCATACTTACCTTATGACCAACAAAGGTCCTCATCCTTTTCACATGTATGGAATATACACTGCGGTTACTCTCCTAACCCACATTCAGACCACCAAGTTGTGTCCCTAGAACACAACAACTATCTTTCCTCTCAAGGTTCTAAGGGTAGCTCTGAGGTGTTTGGGCATGGTTCTCTAATATTTATAAACTTAAATACTTAAGAAGTTCCACCAGAGTGATTCCTCTAGTAATTTTGAGCTGATATCAGACAGACTTAATGGGTTACTAGACAGGGGTGTTTACTAAGGTTTGAGTACAAACAGTTTGTATAAAATAACTCACCACTCCAAAGAAAAAAACAGCAGTGATTTACTCTCCCACAAGTAGAGAGATCACGCAGGGGGAGTGACTACTTGTTTCAAAGTGATAGCACAGCCTGTTAAAGTCCTTTTCCTCATGGTGCTTTTTCCCCTTCCTGCAACTCTCATGAAATTCCTCCTTGGCATGGTGTAATGTCAGCCTGTACTTCGTGGAAATGCTATAATTATTAGGAATGTTTTCCTTTTATCAAATTGAATTTTTTTTTTGCAATTTCCATGCATTATTCCTAGTTCAGCTCTCTGAGGTCAGGCAAAACACACCTAATCTTTCTCATAACAGTCCTTCAAATACTTGAAAGCAATTGTCTCCCCCTGCCATGATACCACACACCCAATCTTCTCTATTCCTTAACAACCTTCTAACCTTTTCTGGCTCCTTTCTCTGTCTCTCTTCTTCTAGCCCAATCATCCCCACATCATTAGAGGTAGCAAAATGCAGCAACTAACTGACAACTAGTTCACAGTAGGGTTGCACTGTATACCACTAAACAACCTGGTAGCAAACACTTCCTGGGTAGGAATAGTTCCTCATAATAGAACTCAAGAAATACTGGTTACCTTTCATAAGATGATTTTTGTCGTATCCTCAGCAAATGTCTGAGCATTCAGAGCAATGGGGATAGGAATAGAAGGTAGAAAGGAATGAGAGTGGGAGAGAGGAATATAATAGAATCAGGAATAATAAGTCAGGATTTCAGATCATCTGGTCCTACCCCTATCAGAAGCAGAAAGAGAGAAGGAAAAAAGTACCAAGTAAACAAGGTTCGTAAGAGATGATAAAATCAATCAAAATTACATTAGGAGAAGAGGTAGCAGGCAGTAGGAAGTGATGCGTGAGTCAAAGAGAAAACTGCTCCTGCTGAATTTTTTAAAAAATCTAAATAAAGTGCACATACATTGCAGTGATCTTTCATACTTCATAAAATAATGTCTACAAAAGGGACAACCAGATATCTTGGTAAACTGATATTACTATACTCCAAATACCATACAGTTTTTGCCCATGTCCTTCTCATATATTTCTTCCTGACAATCTCCCTAGGAATTCCAGCCCTTAGTCTTGAAGCTCTGTTTCTGACTAGTTTCAGATTATAGGAAATTGTTTCAGCCCACCTATCAGCTGTTATTTGGGTAGGGAGTCCTTCTATCACCTCCCCTGTCCTTACCCACACTCCTTGACCCTGTGACCTGTGCCCTGAGACACAACCTCAGTGTACAATACCTTTCAGAGGTCTCTAGAACCATAGGTGTCATCTACAATTTGTATGAAAAGAGCCTTACCATAGCCCAGTACCTTTTATCTGGCATTAGGGTGATAACCCCTCTGTCTTTACTAGGCTTCTTATTAGGGCATCTGAGAGTTATCTCTGGCTAAAGATTTTCCCTAATGTTTGAATTACATTTGGCTGAAATGGATTGGGCCACAATGGACTCATATCTCTTCTATTATGACAAAAATAAAAATTTATCTTTCTGAAATCATTTAATATCACCAAAAAATTGGAAAAAGATGACCTCACTTGACTCTCACAAAAAAACCACCATGAAGTCAATAAGGTATTTTTGATCCCCATTTTATGGCTCAGGGCCCAAAAATAAAAATAATTAGACCAAACTCTTATTGGCAAGGATGAAACCTGTACATGACTTAGGATACAAGGCTTATTCTACTTTTCCTTACTTTTTCTCCAAATTTGGTCCTGGGTTGAACTCTGGGCTTTCAAGTAGACCCTGAAGTAGGTCACAATTTTTTGCTCTATCACTTGGATTAGGATATGATTTCATCTGTGCTAGGTTTGGGAGAATCTCCTTAAATTCCTGAGCAACAGTTGACTGCTTCTCTTTTCCCTTACTTCCCCCTTCTTTTCCTCTCTCCCTTCCCAACACTTCCTATCTCCAATCAGTTACTGAACATAACCAGTGGGCCAAGTTTGTCTGACTGCATCTCTCGGAATGGAGGACAAGGAACACAGACACTTTGGGTCCTCCAAAAAGTGGAGAATTTCAGGCAGTTGGACTGATATCTCTGGGA